TGAAGGACCTGGGATGTTTTTCTGTGTGTTTGCTCCTGACCCAGGAGAAAAACCTCCATCTGGTCTGCCATTTGGTGTAGCCTGACAATCTGGAACTCCAGAGTGCAGTATGTAGGGAGAATTGTGTTTAGTCTCCAGGGGATCTTTGTCCCTTGACTCTGCTTTGACAAATACCACAGAGTTTTATGCTGAATTTCTCATGTTTTTCTCTGACTGATGGAAAACTTAGACAAGCTGGTATTCTGATGAGCAAGTGCACTTCCCATAAGCTATGGGAGTTTTTCCTTAGCCTAAGGATCTTCTCTCTACTTATTCTTGTTTTCTTATTTAATTTTCTAAGTAAGGAGCTACTAAACAGTAGATTTTATTTTTGCTGGTACTGTTTACATTTTAAACATAAATGTTAAGGGCCCTCAGTATTTCTTTCTGAATGGTAATTTACAAAATTTGAGGAAAACCTCTGTTCAAAAAATATTTAATGGAGTAGGAAGAGCGCATTAAGGCTATTAAACTGACTGAGAAATTAATATTTTTTTTTAAACAAAAGAAAGATTAGGCATAGTTGACCTAGAAAACAGACTACTTGAACTATCATAAAACTCTCTGAAATTATGAAAATTTTAGCAAAGTTGACATGACAACTTCCAGAATATTCTGAAATATTAGCTTGTACGCACCTTGTTTACAGCTTGGGAAAGTTAAAATTTTCAACAATATTTTTTCTCTGCTAACAAAATCTTGTATTTTGACCATCTCCTCCTCTGCCACACCACCTCTCCCAGGATCACCTACAGAAATAAGTCAGGCTTCTGTCTTACTCTCAGTGAATCACTCTCTGCAGGAAAAAGTTCAGGAAAACATTCCAAATGTCCAAGCATAATGAGAAAGAGCTATCAATTTAAAACACCAATTTTAAAAAGTGATGGAAAGTTGGGTATTTAATGTCTTCAGATTTTCCCTTTCACTGAGGGTTCTTTTCTCCTCCAAAGTCTGAATACTGAATTAAATCTTCAGTCTGTACCAATAAGGAACACAGTGCTGGTGAGACATTCACCATATTGGGAATCTAAACAAAGAGCATCAAACAAGGAAGATGATTCGTGGAATTCTTATGGTAAGATTATGCCAAGTATTGGGCTCAAGCTTATGCTGCTGTGGGCCCAACTGTGACTACAACTCACCAGGCATCTCCTCAGCACCATGGGGTGTGAGGTTGACAGCTTAGTTTTGAAAATGGATGATAGGTATTGGGATTTAGGAAGAAAATATTCAAATGGAAGGGAAACAAGAGAGGGGGAAGGGAAGGAAGGGAAGATTTTAAATAATAGAAGGAAATCAATAGAAACAAAATTTTTTAAGTGGGGAGAGGAAGTGAAGAGAGGGAAACGGGAAAAAAGAATTAAGAACTATTATGTACAGGTATGAATTCCCAATGATGTGTGATCATTACGTATATCAAAATGAGCCAAGAAAATCAATTTTAAAAACCTTAAGTACTTTAGACCTTGGTAATATTTGCACACAAAAATCTTTGTGTAGTCTCAAATGGGTAAGTTCCTGTCAGGTGTGCTGGGGTGTGTTTTTCTGATTGCTTTAGTTGCTTTGTATCCATGGGGGAAAAAAATTGACTGAAAAGATACAAGTAAGTCTAGTTCATAGACAGTAAAAATGATAGTGAAGTCTTAAGGTAATTTCTCCAATAAAGATACTAAATTTTTAAACTAATAATAAAAGAAGAAAGCAAAGATAAAAACCAATAGAGCTAGATTTGGGAATTAAGACTGCTACCTACATGAAGGTGGTAGTATATCTGAAGAAGGTAGTATATTTTTTTTTGTCAGAACTTAAAAAATTACTTTACTCTTCTATACTTTATAGCTCCTTTCTTTAAAAGTTATCTGTAAAAAATTACTCCTAAAAGCTTTATCTGCTGGGTTTTTAAAAATGTGATTTTACAAGGAATTTATTTAATTTTGATATTTAAAATACCTCAATTATACTGCAAGATAAATACCAGATATAATTATACTTCTAAACAATAGTTGTTTTTTGTGATCAAGTGTAATATTCAAAAAATATTCTTCATGATATGAGGACAATTTGAGCAGCAAGATATATTTTCAGTATTTTCCTTCTATCTTTCCAAATATTTTCAAAGGAGATATGTGACTTTTAAAATGTGGCAAATGTGCTTGTAACAAAGATACTTGGATTTCCATAGACGACAAGAATGGTACAAGAATGGTACAATATTGTACCATGTTAGAATGTACTTTTGCAAGGGACAGAACTTCACTCAAGTTATCTGAAGAAAATGCAGTTTATTAAGTAGATAGTGTTTTAGTATATCTAAGATGAAGCTAAACCTGCAGACATCTGGAGGGATGAGAACCAGGCCACGGGGGCCTCAACATGAGATGCTCCTGGACTGTGACTCTCACAATCCACCATAAACAGGCGAAAGAGTGAATGTGGTTATTTCCATCCATTCTACGTATGAGTTGGATCCTTCATGCCAATTTGGGCTTCTGATTAAATTAGAGTATGGCTGAGGATATTGAGGGGATAAGAACATTCTTAGAATGTGTGTAGAAATGGAAAAAAACCTGGTATATATAGTCCAATCACTAAAATAACTAAATCTTGGATCATACAAAGATAAAAGCTATCACTTGCTTAAATAAAGCTCTGAATTTCTGTGCCAAAGTTTTAATTAATGTGTGTAAAAATCAAAGTCTGACACTGACATCCCTTTGTTAAAAGAGTACTCATAAGTATATTTTAGAAATCTCCAACTAATACACTTGAGCTGGAAGGTTGAATGCTGTGATATGAAACAGCTCGCACTGTTGTTACTAAAGCATCTGAGAGGAATTAGTGATGATAGTTACTCCTTTAGAAGACTGGTTGTATAAATTATTGTATATGCTTCTTTGGGATTTAGCAATCTTAAAGCTATTCCAAACTGACAAATATGTAAATAAAATACCAAAATCAGGCCAAAAAGATCTATTGAAAACTTTATTTTTTTCTTAGCATTAGTGCACGTACTGAAAAAGCTTTAAGGTGCTGAATTCTAAATTATGATTTTCAATAAATGTTTTAAATCTTGCTAGCATTAAAAACACTCATTATAGATAAAACAAGGAGGAAACAATCAGTGTACCTGTTGGAGTATTGGTACCCTAACTTTCGCCACCTGAGCCACAAAAGAAGCCTCTGCTTTGTTCTCCCCTCGAGTTGCACCTTTCAGAATGCTATGGTATTACTTCTTTCTCCTATGTATGATTTTCTCCCAGTAGCAATTTAAGGGTTCAACTAAAATCATTAGTCCTTCCTCCCTCTCCATCCCTTTAAACCTCGTGCTCAGTGGAGTCACAGTGATCCACAAAGATGTCACTTCCAGCACAAGTCCTTTAATAGGTTTTCAGGGCCTACAGGACAAATTTAACACTTCTGTAATCAGGGAGTGCAAATTCCTTCTTGCCCAGCCCTCCTGTTACTGTCCACATTATCTCCTTCCATTCTGAGTCTTGTAGTTGACACGATGGTGGTAAGAAAATACTTGTCACTTCTATTCACCCGATGTTTCCAGGCCTGTTCCCGTGCTCTTCTAACTGGCATATTCCTCTTCTCGGCTCTCTCCACCCTTCTTTACCTCAGCAATGACTCAGTTTCTGGGAAAATTTCTCTAGCCTACCAAACTGGGTGAAAATGCTTCCCAAAGTGTCCCATGCATGCCTCAATCACACTACTTATGAGATGATACAGAATTAGTGATTAGTTAGTGAGTCTATTTCTCCACTAAACTATAGGCTGGCTCCATACTGTAGCACCAGTGCCTACTGGAGACTATGTATAGTAGATTTGTGGAACAGAATGGAATGTCTGATTTTGTTATATATAAATACTATTTCCAACAATATACTTAATACACTTAAACCATTTCCTAGAAAATTTAAAACCCCAATGAATCCAAGAAATGTAGAAACTAATTGTTTTTAAAAATATTCAGCTGCTTGAGTAAAGTGAATTCAATCGTTAAATTTTTCTTAATAGTTTGCCTCAAGAAAATATCTGTTCATAAATTCAGCCCAAGAGCATTTTCCTAGTGCGCTGGCTCACTGCCTGGAACCATCTGTTTGCTTTGCCTAAAGCAAGGGCAGTGATTGTTCCAGCAGTAGACACTGGGATGGGTCTCAAGGCATGGCTGAAATCGTGCTTTTTCACATCAGAATTGCATAATTATGACTGTCACAAATAATATGGTTTGGTTTAATCACCCCAAACAAGGAGCACATTGTTCTATACCCTAAAGTCCTCATTATTTTATATTTTTAAGGACAGTGAGATTATAAATAGACCCTTCTTAGATAGGTTAGATAGGTCATTGCATTCATCTACTATTCAGAGATAATTCTGTGACTATTACCTGCATCCTTCAGATAACCACGATTTGGAATTCAGCCTACCTGAATTATCCTGGAAAACTGCTGCAATTTCCTATTTTAATATTCTAATGTAGGAATGGACTAAGAGGGGCTGGGGATTTAGCTCAGAGGCACAGCGCCTGCCTGGCAAGCGTGAGGTCATGAGTTCGATTCCTGGTACTGGAAAAAAAAAAAACCCAAAAAACAAAAAACCCCAAACAAACAAAAAAAGAATGGACTAAGAACAATTTTTTCAACAAAGAGAACTGAAAGGAAGCCAAAGTAATAAGGCAAAATTCCACTTTTCAATTAATGACAGAATTATCTATCATCTCTGTTTTACACTCTATAAATAAGGGTACAATCTAAAACTACTTCCAGAGAGCACTCTAAATTTCAGTTCATCAAAACATTTCAACTTTTAAAAAAATGAATATCTCAAGGTTAACACAGGAGAGCACTGCGGAATGTACACCATACATTTGTCCTCCTTTTCCCCTGCAGGGGTAAGTACTCATTCACATTCTCTCTACCTCAGTTACAGTGTCCAGTGATAAAAAATGTCCTTACTTAGTATTATGCGTGTCAATAGTATGGAAGAGCTCATGTAATTCTTCTCCACTGAGAACACCATCTGCAAAATATGCTTTGAATTCTTCAAAGGATAATTTTCCATCATCTGAAATGATAAGAACAAATAGAAGAGAACCAAATCATATCAACGTTGTGCATTATTCCGTCTTGATGTTTAAAACTTGGCACATAAGCTTGTACATGTTTCTGTGTATATACATGCATTCAAGAAGGAAGGACCTTTAAAGATTCTAAAAAGAAAATCTATTCAATACATCTTTAGGGTGCACAGCATATGGATGTGTGCACTCTGATTAAATAAAATTTTACAAAATTTGGAATATTTTTTATTTATTCCCATGACAAACACTTCAGAAACTTTTAAGGAAGCATTTAACTGTCCATACAAAAAGAATTTCCACACAATAGATAAAAAGCCCAACATATAGTCCATTATTTAGAGATTCTGTCTCTGTGGTAGTAAGCACATATAGAACATAGCAGATTGCAGGATAAATACTATATTTTAATAAATGTATATCAAATAAATAGATACCTACATGTGGTTGTGAGAGTTGTTATTATAATCTGACACTATATTCATGTTTGTATTCTTTAAACCAATGAACATTTTAAAGCCAAACACATTTTACTTATTGAGGGATACAAAATGAAATGCAGAAAGTCTAATGAAAGAGGCAGGATATGCAGACTTAAGGGTAAGCATTTTACACAGTAATACACGTGTACTTTAAATGTATGGGCACTGAATAGAGATTTTCTTCACTTAGGTCCCTCAGGGATTTTAGGAACATTTTTACCTGACTTTGAAGGAAAAGCTGTAAGTAGGCATAGATGGAAGAAACACATTAATAACAGCAAAATATGTGCATGACATAGAAGCAGCAAATCTAGAGGAATGAATGTACACGAAGGGAGAGGGAAGCATCCCTTCCTCCATGCAAGGAGCTAGTTTGTCAGGTAAATAACTTGTCAAATGACTGTAAGTTATGATAAAGTCTTTTCATTTAAAATGAGGGAACTGAAGGGTAAGGAAGAAGAAATTCATCCAGGATCTCAAAATTTCTGCAAAGTAGTCCTATATCACTGGACACAAACCAACAATAGTCTATAAAACAAAACAGAATTTGCCTTTAAGTGGGAGAAGGTATGATTTGATGAGATTAGATTCTCAAGATTCATTTAGACTACTTTTTCTCAAAAGATGGGTTACTGAGTGCTTGCTGTACTACTAAAATTCAGATTTATGGGCAATACAAGAGAATTAGCAACTCATAGCAAGCACTGAGAGAGGTCACATGAGAAATCTAGACTATTAGCAACCTGTGTGAGTCCTTCTTATACTATTACTGAGAGACCAAATCAGTGAATTAATTTTTCAGATAAGGATTCAAAGACTGGAAGTTTTTCAAAAATTCTTATTTGCAAAACATAAAGAACCCTGAGATTTTATTAGTTGTATTTCATTTTGCTTTTTATATTAGCAGACACAATACACCAATTTTTGAGTTAATTCTTGCTAATAACTAGTAAACATAGGTAAGGAGGTGATAAGAATCAAGATCTAGGCTGAGCACCGAATGAGTTTCTGACCCCTGGACCTCTAGGACCACCCTGTCTCAGCCATTCGAAGACCACAGCAACCCAGGAGAAAACAGCTTAATCCACTGGGATCATCAAATGTCTAATTGATGTTTCTGCTCTTAGAGGAGGTATTTTAGTTTCATGCCACATATGACTACTTTGAAATTTAGCCCCATGTAACCTGCTGTATATTCTGGGTTAGATGCAGGTCTGTGTTTCTATGGGCATTTCCTTATCATGATGAGAAATATATTGCCAGGTTGGAAAACTGGACCTAAATCAAATCTAGGTATAGGTCAAAGAGAGATGAGGAAAGAAAACTTTTTAAAAAGAGAAGAATAAAAGAAAGCAAAAAGAAAAGCAGAAAGTAATACACTATTTTCAACTCTACTGCTGTGATGTGTAATGAATGTAATGAACATGTGTTGATGATAGAATATGTTTTCCTTGGTGAACAGTTAATGCACTCAAGTGTGCTGAACCAGGCTATGACAGAACTCTGGCTGCTGGTGTAGCCTGCTGGTGGGGTGGGCCTCTGAAACACAGCTCTGTTATTAGCATAAGTAAGTGACTTCAAGTAATAATGCATATACACCAAGTAAAAGCATTGACTAGCAATGCTCTGATATACTGTTTAAAAACTCATTTTGGAGAAAAATGTAAAGAGAAAAAGAAGGCATTGAATTACAGCCCTGGCTTGCAGGAAGAAAAGCACACTTTAAAAGCTTGATTTTTGGTGTTTTTTTTTTTTAAACTACCTGCAGGACTCCTGAAAGTCTTCACTTCAGGCTGCCACTCTTTTAAACAAGAAATTGCAAAGAGCAGCTTCTGAATGGTTCTAGACTAGGGCCTTAATGTTAAAGTACTATTTTAAAGGAAAGGGAAAAAATATCCACTTTTAATATGATTATTAATAAAGCAATTATGAATTTTTATTAAGATATTCTACTTCAACTTCAATTTTTCTGCTGATATTTTTTTGGAAATAGAACAATGCAATAAAACCTTGCTTTATATAAGGGTGGCTCACAGAATAGCCAAATCTTTATGGAGTTTGAATTGCTAGGCTGCTGAATATTAACTTTTACCACCAATGGATGTAGATGTTTCAACCTCTTCTATGAGAACTGCATACTGTGTCTAAGTTTACCTTAAGCATAGTTACCCACCCACCCCTGCTTCACTTTTGAATTATTCTGGCCTTATATTCCAAATCCTGTTAGTTTTTCAGATGGAAGAAATAGTGCTCTTGCTAGAAAACAGTTTTAAAACAAATAAAACTTTGTGTTTTAAATAAGAATTTGCCACTTATTACTAATAGAGCACTTTTAACTATTCTTCCATAAAATGCTTATGAAGATTTTACTACATAGAAAGCACTGTTTTGTGCTAAGAATACTGGTAGACTTGTCTTATGAAAAGTGGGCAGCCAAGCATAGCATCAGGCAATCCTAGGAGACTGCCCTTGAGTAAGGGTCAACTTGAGTAGGATCTCCCAGCTAACTGAGTCGGCATGACCCAGAGTGTGGAAGACCCACCTGAGGATTGTTGCCAATGCCATAAAGGGGGAGGGGTAGATTATATGCTATTGATTTTTCTGGAGAAGCTTGCCATGGCTGGTTTTCCTCAAAACATCTCAGCTGCTCTCTTTCGAGGAGCTTATGCCCTCACTGTCACCAGGGATGGCTGATGTTCTCTTCCAGAGAGCCCGGGTCTTTGCCTTGATCATCGCTTGCTGACTCCAGTGCAGATCCCTCAGTCTTCTGGCACAGATCCTTCATCCAACTGGCATAGACTTTCTAGCTTTCGCCACTGGCTGTTGGGCCTTCCCAGGGCAGATCCTTGTATGGACTTTCATGTGACATTGCCAAGGGCTCCAGGCCTTCAGCTGGACTCATGCAGGGTGTTGCCTGGGGATCCAGGACCTCAGCTGGATTCTTTGGGTCTCTAGTGAGTGGACCAGTCTCTTTCATTCTTCTGCATTTTTTGGGGGTAAATATTATAAAATAATCCTATAAATAATGTGTCCTACATTAAATCTATTCCCTTGAAAGACCTGACTACAAAAGAAACCTACGGTTCTATGAAACCACTTAGAAAATGAAAAAACTCAAATATAAGGGCACAGGGAAGATCTTCCAAAAAGAGGATGCTTCTGTTGTGCCATAAGTGAAACACAAGGGTTAGGAAAAGAAGATAATTAAAGAGAAAGGGGATTCCAAGGTGAGGAAAGGCTAATGACAAAACAGGGAGCTAGAAAAAATGTAGTTGAAAATTGAAAAGAAAAATCAGTGTAGTCAGCAAAGAGTATATATCTGGAGGGAAGGAGAACTCAGAGTCAAATACAGAGTGGCAAGATCATGAGATGCATAAAAATCAAGGGAAAGAGTTTTGAATTTACCCCAAAAGCCCATTCAAGAGCCACTGTGGTAGTTTACAAAGCTCCCCATGGTTGCAGGGGATAGAATGAGTGCAGGGGCTGAGCCACGCCATAGAAGGGAAGACCTGTTGAGAAGGCAGTGCAGAATGCCAGGCAAATCAAAAGTTGCAGAAAGTGGAGTAGTGACAGTAAAAAAGAGACAGATTTTTAATTCTTTTATGAAGCAGAATCAACACAAATTGGTGATCTATTGGAGATGGGTGAGGGTAGCAACCAGCAAAGGGTGATATTTATTTTCCAGGATGCAGTGAAAGATGAACAATCTATGACCATTCACTATCAGAGAACGATGAACAAAAAGCATGGGGGGAAATGAAGAGTGATCACCTGGATATGTAAACATTAGAGGTGCCTGCTGAGTACACAGAGGTGTCTGATGGGCAAAAGGATCATATGGCTCTAGAAAGGCTGAAAAAGGGTAGGAGTTTGAGATGTATGTGTGGGAATTATCAGCACCTTGTAACTAGGATCCCAGAAGCAAGTGACTTCTCCCGGAGAGAAAGCCTGTAATGGGAAAGAAAGGTACCCAGACAAGACTTCGGAAATGCCACTAAATCCTTTATTTTCAAATTTCATCAGTGCTTGATTATTATAAGGACTAAGCAAATGTCTCTGTACTAAACACTTATAATAGTACCTCACACACAGTTAAGAGTTCAACAACTGTAGGTAATGGATTGAGGAGTTCAGTCTAAGTGAAAACCACACGTGTTTTTAACTCCACTTTCCACTCCTCCAACTCCCTACTCCTTATTAACCACATAAGAAAATAGGTATTTCGTATGTTTGTTTGATGATAGAAATTCTAGTTTATTTTCTTAGGTAATCACACTTTGCTGAATTAGAAACTGGTGCTTCTTTTATAATAAGGCTCTTTAAACACCCACTAAATGTGTCCTTCAAGTTGCATCTACAAATACATCACAAGACATCTGATCTCAGTGTTGCTCTTTCCCCATGGCTACATTACCCCAGTATTTATGAGCACTTAAAATGATTGTTCTTTCAAAACAGAGTTTCACTCATGCTTTACTTTAACATTTCTGAAGACTTGAAGTACT